GTCCTCTTAGCTTCAGTCACTCAAGAGACAGGACATCACCTTCGTGGCCCATAAACACAAGTGACTACCTGTCTTTGTCTCCTGTGTGTTGCTGTAACAGAATACCCGGGGCTTGGTGCATATATCAGGAAGGGACATTTCCTTAGCTCGTCAGGCTGCTGGTGGAAAGCCTGGCTGGCCGGCTGGTCAGTTTAACTTCTGCCAAGGGCCTTCTGGCTGGATTCCAACATGGCAGAGGGCATGGGAAATAGGGTATGCAGAAGAGATCATATGGCTAAAGAAAGGGAAACAGCTGGGTCCAATGGTGCATAATAACTCTCTGGCGGGAACTAACTCCTGGGAGTCACAACCCACTCCAACAGAACTCGCATTAATCCATCCACAGGGTAGGACCCAGCTAACCCCGGCAGGCCTTACTCCTGTCAACACCACAACATTGGGGCACGTGAGCTTGGGACAGCCAACCGTCCGTCACCCATGCCCTGCTCTGGCAGGATGACATGTGGTGGCCCCCAGCCAGGGTCTCAGGAGTGGAGCGCATGCAACCGTGAGGGAAGAGCCAGGTCCTAGCAATGTCATTTATGTTCTTTTTTTTATGTTCACAATTAGGAATGTTGCCTATCCCTGGATCTTTACTTTTATGATCCTGGCACCCTCTTGAGATCTGTCGGCTGGACAGGCATATATCAGGTGTGCAAGTCAGGAGAGGAAGGAGGTTCCTGGGCTCTGTCCCTGCTGGTGTGCTGTGCTGAGTCACCTGAAGTCAGAGGTCTGCAAACCAGGGCTGCAGGCCAGGTCTGTCCCAGACTCACTTTTATAAGTAGAGTTGGATTTGGGCACAGCCACATCCGTTCGTGCAAGGTGACTTTCAGGAAATGATGGCTGAAGAAGGGCTGTGAGGTGAGTAGTAGAGATAAAGAAATCATGTACTACAAAACCCTGTAATGATTTCCATTACAGAAATCATTCGCTACACTGAGCTAAGATCACGCCTCTAATCCTAGCTACTCAGGAGGCTGAGATCTGAGGATGGAGGCTCCAAGCCCGCCTGAGTAGAAAGTCCCTTGGGCCCTTAGCTGTTCTGAGATGGAGAACTCCCAAGTGAGGAATGGTTATGTCTTCACCCATCCCAAGGAAGCATCTGCCACTCCTGGCACCTGCTTGCTTCTCATTGGCTCTGCGTCCAGATGGGAGGTTTCTGACAACAGCAGGGACAGGTCACCTTCAGCTGGAGGGTGTGCCTCGGGAGGCTGAGCCTGCTCAAGCAGTATTGACCCACCGCTGTCCCCAGAGTGGAGCCAGAAATGCTGGCCTGCACAATAAAGCCAGCCACAGGCCTGGCCTCACAAAAGCTGCGGCCATCCTTCCTGCGAGAGGCTAAACTTGGTAACCATCCCCAGGCACAGCACAAGTGACCGATTACATACGCTCACTCCTGGCTCAACTTTCTAGATGGAATACCAGTGGTACATAATATGGAGAGCGGCAGCCCTTGTAGCAAATTCCAGAGCTAAACTAACATTGGTGTTCTTGAAACTTCATGTAACTTTAAAACTTGCATCTGACTTGCCACTCATTAGAAATAGTCTGGCCTAGTGGTTCCCAGCCTAACCAAACTCCTGAAATTATCTCTGGAGGCTGTTTAATCCAAGTTAAAGAAATGGAATGTACCACTACGTTTACCCTCTTTAGCTCACTCTCCGTAGCTACTTGTAGTCTGAAGATTACTTTCAGCCATTGCTGAAGTTTCATCAACGTCATCAGTTGGTTTTGTGTTGCTTAATTTGCTCCTAAAGCACTGGGAAATACTCACACTTCTAAGTGCCTTTTATTAGTTTATACTCAGTTTCCTGATGATTCTCCAGTTAATATTCTCAATTAGCTTCCTACTACAAACTACACTTAGTGAATGTAAACGCACAGGTATATAATCTTAGAATCATGGTGTTGGTAGGAATCTAGGGTAAAAACCTGTGCCAACTCTGCTTCTAGAAGCCACCTGCACTCCTTGGCTAATGGCCTCAACCTCTGCCTTGCCTTTGATGCCTGCAGTCTTGTATCTCCTAATCTACTGCTGATCTTTCTTATGAATACCCGTGGTTACAGTATTACCAAACATGACCAACTTCTTCTAAAATTTGACCATAGTTTGTTCCTAACAAAATGCAAGCTGAGGTGGTAAGTGTATGGAGAGGGGATAGAAATAAGAGGTGCTTGGCTCATGAGGATGGAGTCCTCATGAACGAATTAATTTCACAGGAATACCAGTTTGATCCTTCTTCCCTGTACGTGTTCCACCTTTCCACCATACAATGACAAAGCACACGGCCAGATGTAATTTGCTGACCTTGAACTTCCCTCCCACTAGGATCCTGAGCCAAATGTCCTTCATTCAGAATTACTGGGTCCTAGGCAGTACACTAGAGCTACAGGCATCCCCCCCCCATGTTTCATCACACACATAAAGCCCCTCCTGCCATATAAGGCAATGCATGGTCAGGCGTCTGGGGTTAGAATGTGGACAGCTTTGCGGCCTTATTAGTTTACCATACTGTTATTCTTGCTGTTGCCATTACCACTGTCAGCATGGGATCAAAGCTGATTGTATTACCTGAACCAGACACTGTAACAATGGCTTTGGGTTCTGTATCCCCATGGGGCCTGGGTGCTGTCCCTTAGCTCTTCAGCTCAAGGTGAGTGCTCTACCACTTGAGCCACAGTGTTACTTCCGGTTTTCTGGTGGTTTGTTGAAGAGTCTCATGGACTTTCCTGCCCCGGCTGGCTTTGAACCTGGATCCTCAGATCTCAGCCTCCTCAGTAGTTGGGATTACAGGCATCAGCCACTGGCTGCCTGGCTGCACTGCTGCTTATTGATGAGAACAATGATTTACAAAATCTGCATACCCATTCACCTAGTCTGTCTAAAAACTTGTATGTTTTGAAAAAAATTAGTTATAAATTTATAATCATGTATAGAATTGTGCATTTGGAAGGATGCAAAGTGGCATCACACGATTTAAGCTTACAAATATTGGGTACAATTAGCCTAAGTCATTGAGAACTATGGTATTTAGATGCGGATGCCATCCCTCCATGAAAGCTAACTGCACATAGCCTAAGCCCTTGAACAAGACACTATGAAATGAATGCACAGCCTTCAAGTGTGATTTTTCTTTTGTCAGGAAAGTCTAGGTTCATGACCCAAATCTATCACTGCTGCTCCAAAATCCATTGAGTCATAAATTGCTGGCTATAAAATCACTTGTCACAGTGGCTTGTGGTCAAGGGCCCCATTGTGCACAACTCTGGCCCGATGAACTGTACTTAGTTCCTGTGAAACCAACACCGCTCTAACACTGTACCCACCAAATGACAATTTGGCATCTGACTTGCCACACATTAGAAATAGTCTAGCCCAGTGGTTCCCAGCCTAACCAAACTCCTGAGATTATCACTGGAGGCTGTTAATCCAAGTTAAAGAAACGGAATGTACCACTGCTTTTACCCTCTTTAGCTCACTCTCCGTAGCTACTTGTAGACTTTCAGCCATCGCTGAAAGGTTTCATCAACATCATCAGTTGGTCTTGTGTTGCTTAATTTGCTCCTAAAATATTCTTTAAGACACTTGACGCCTATGCAGAACTGTCAGATGGTAACTTCTGAACTTTAATCTCACATTAAGTTTGTGTTAGAAATGTCTCATGAACACTTGCTAAATTCTTGAAGCAAATGGAGTGGTGAACAAGCATTGTAAGTATGTCAGGACTTCAGACCATCATAACAGAACTTAACTACGCCTAAGTATCTCATAATACAAGTGCAGATGGCCAAAAGCTACTAGGAATCCACATACCTCATTAACTTGCCTGCAGGACCAATATTTAAAACAATAAACTGGATGTTTTGAAAACTTAACACCATCCTAAGGAAAATATACCCAGCATTTAGTTTGTAAAGAAATGCTATCATTTGTTTGTATAGCACTGTATACTGTATACTTTTAAATTTGTATTTTAAAGATCCCAAGTTAGAACATTTCTATCACTGCCTTTTTCATTATTTATTGCCAGTACTGGGGCTTGAACTAAGGGGCCTTATGGTTTTGTTTTGTGCTTGCTCAAGGCTAGTGGTAGGGAGATAAGAGCCCCCTGGATGTTCCTGCCCAAGCCTGCTTTGAACCACGATCTCAGCAGCTTATATAATGAAAGAAATCATCAACCATCAACAGTTGCTCAACTTTTTCTAAAAGCACATTTAAAAAACAAGGATCTAACCCTGTGAAAGGCAGTGACTTGTTTGCGAGTGTGGTGTGCTTGTCATGGAAGAGTTCGAGCTGTTAAAGTGTCCTACAATGATGTCAAACACCACAGAGAACGAGCCTTTGCACCTGGGTCCCAATAAAGAGAAACTGGAAATGAGCTACAAATTCCTTCTGCAAGTATTATTTCATAACCTCAGGGTTATTGTAAACCTAATCATTTATTTAAACACATAGGTTACAAAAGACAGATGAGCTTTAGGTTTATAAGGGATCCAGTATCTATAAACTTTGTGCACATAAAAACAGCTTCCTGAATATGGATTTAAGTGACATTGGAACAGTTTGTTTGCAGACTCCTTTCAAGAAATCCTACCCATAACTGAAACGAATGAGCAGCGGCTTTCTGAAATGGTGTAACTTAAGCGATATGCTGGTAACAAGAAAGCTACCCAATGCCTTTAGGGTATTCTAAATCCATGTAACTTTTACAAAACATTCCTCTTCTCCAGTTACTTACAGTCACAAGTTAACATATTTTATATGGAATCTAGAGCAGAAAGTTAAGTAGTGTTTTCTGGAAGGTGCTCATCTACTCATCCATCTGTCCACCCCCTCATCCAATTGCACAGCCAACCAACCAACCAACGACACACCCACCCAACTCAACTACCCCGTATCTGCCAACCATCAACTGTGCACTAAATTCAGTTCAATGTAAATAAAACAAAACCAAAAGTTCTAAAGAACTGCCGTAACTTTTATTTTTGCTTAGTTTTATTAAAAAAATAAATATGTCATAAAGCTTTCGTTTCTTTTAGGGAGAATAAAAGGAACAATTTTCATAAAATCAAATAAACAATGGTAAGGTATTTTAACTTGAAAAGGACTGAAAATCACTGGTTTAAGAGTTGGGAGTTGAATGAAAAACAATGACCACAGTTGCCCCCTTTCACGCCGAAAGCAGCGAACAGGATGAACTAGGGCAGAATAAATATCGGTGTGGAAGCCCTGGTAAGTGCCTTAAACAGACTAGTCACTGTCTTCTTGCTTCAAACAACACAGAAGTTCCCCAAAAGTTCTGGGTAAATGAAACAACACAGGAACGGGTGGTATCTGCAGGAATTCTGTGCTGTGCTTTTGTGAACTTTTCACACTCTGTAAACCCAGTGTTGGCTCTGCTTGGGGTAAAGTATAGAACGAAGCGTGCCTAGCTACTACCTCTCAACAGCGGCAGCAGCGCATTTGCCTGACCAGGTTCCGGCTGGGCTGATGGCACAACTTCCAAGTTTGTGTTTCTATTAAGAAAGTAGTGTAAAGAGCGGGATCAGCCAGGGAACTCAGCGGCCTCTGGCAAAGCAGGCCGAGGTGGGGTTACCACCTTAACAGTCACTGCAATTCAACAAATACTTCTGAGACTCTACTTTGTACAAAATACAGTACTAAACCTTTTTAATTTGGCTGTAAATGTCTTCCTTTCTCCAAAACTATCAGCACGTGGGCTAGGTCTGGAACCCCAAAAGAAAATAATACTTCTAAATTCTCAAGTCTGGCTTTAAGTGCAGTAGCTGCCCAACTTCTTCAGATTATGGTGGAAGATAATGAGCTTTCCAAAGCTGCAGTTTAACACAAGAATCCCGTTTCATGTAACTTGTTAGTGAAAACTTTGCTGGCAACATAAAAAATTTTCAGTTTTTTTTTTTTAGCACTTCCTCTAAACGGAATTCTGAATTCTCAGGAAAACCCTGCAGATCACTAATAATCTCTGACTGGTGATGTACTTCAGACCTGCTGACAGAAATAAAAATTCCTTTCCACCAACTAGAATGTCATGAACTTACAGTACGCCAACGTAAGGATGCTTTGGCTAGGAAATAAGCCAGGGCCGTGTCAGTTCCCGCCAGTTCCCTTCAGTGTAAGTAAACACAACACTCACAGCCTCTACTCCGCATGGCAAACTTCTACAGACCCCAGCAGCATTTCACTACTTGGCTAGGCTGTTCAGTTTTTTTCCTAAATGCTTCTAATATCGCTGCTGCCCATATGTACAGTGTGAAAGAAAGTGTGCAATCTTGAGTTCTTTTCCACACCCAGTACACTAACAATTAGTAATTATAAAGAGTAAGTGGTCACTTTAAAACTTTTCTTAAAAAACACTTTCTAACACGTAGAGAATGGGTCTGACAAGTGCCCTGTTGTGTCCAGTGGTTTCCCACCAGCCCTTCTGCCACCCACACCTGCCACCAGCGCTGGGTGGGACCGAGGTCACATCACACAACTTGGTGCCAAGACTGTTTTCTTCAAATGGAGACAGTGTTACCGACTTCTTCATATTGGATAACAAAATAAGGGTAACTCTGATCATCATTAAAAATGACAAAAATCTGAGGCTCAAAAAAATTATCCACACAGGAGTCGTACAGGTCACTAGTGACACTGCCAGGATTGACCGGAGGGGGTCTCCTCATGCCATGGCTGCCCATGGTGTATCTGCCAGTCAGCACTTTAGCCAAAAACATGAAATGGACTCCTTTGGAGGACTTCTTAGAGAAGTTATGGGAGTAGCTTGCCTTCTTTGCAAAGTAACTGCCTTGTCCAAACATTGTTGCGTGCTTTCCGCACACCCGGGGGTCAAAGTTGTGCTTGCAGATGCCGTCTACCACATCCTGGGATGTTCCGTGAAACAAATGTCTCTCGTTTATTATTCTGTCTCGGCCCAACATTTTCCTGTTCATATATTCCTTTTTCCTAATGCAAAGAATGGGTGGGGAAGTCAGAAGAAGGAAATAAAGATCAATTGAATAGCAAGGTGTAGTCACAATGTTTCTTTCTGTGTTCAAGGGTGAGGAAATAGAGAAGTACTAGCAAAGGCACACTGCCCATAATGCCAAAGATCATACTACATGTTTCCATCTTCCATTCCAGGAAAGCCTCCTCCTTCCTTCTCCATCCCCCCCTTCCTTGCTTCCTCTTCCACTTCAAGTCTAGTTCTCCTATTTCACTGTCCTCATCTACCGCTCAAGGTTCTTCACTGCTGGTTATGAAGTGCAGCATGAGGTTAAGAGCATTTCTAGTGCGGAACTACTTAGGTGTGAATCCTGGCTTCACTTCTTGCAAGTGCCCACACGTGTCTGTAATGGTATGCATTTGACATTAGCACTAGTGAAAGCTCTCCTGAACTCTGCCCGCACCTCACTCACCTTTTATATTTCTCCCAGAGAAACTGGTTTTGGACCCTCAATATTTGCAAAATTCTGTATTTAAATTCAGGTACAGTTTTATGGAAAAGATTGTAGATGATTCGGTAACTTTTGTCTTCTGCAGAAACAGGCACTTGAATGAAGTCCTGAGAGGGATGCATGTAAACCCAAGTCTCTGGGTAAAAGTTTGCTGAGGTGACCCCATCTGGACAGGTGATCTGTGATGATGCAGTTGCTTCTAGAGGCGAGGGGGCCTGACCGGGAACCCCACCAAGTGTCCTAGAATAGAGAAGTAACATTGTTCATGCAACAAAGTACACCTCACCCCATACAGTGCTCTACAGCAGCCGCCAGTGACACAATTTGTGCAGCTTAAATGCTTGTGGAAAAATTGTAAAGAAAATCTTAGAAAACAAATGCCGCAGTTGGGCTGGGAAGGTGGCTCAGTGGTAGAACGCTTGCCTTGCATGCCTGAGGCCCTGGGTTCGATTCCTCAGCACCACATAAGCAGAAAAAAATAAAGCCAGAAGTGGCGCTGTGGCTCAAGTGGTAGAGTGCTAGCCTTGAGCTGAAGAGCTCAGGGACAGCGCCCAGGCCCAGAGTTCAGGCCCCAACCGACCAAAAAAAAAAAAAAAAAAAAAAAAAAAACCAGAAACAAATGCCGCAGTCATGAACAACCCAGTAGTAGCTTCTTCCTGGCTGCTCCCTCTGATAGCTCTGGAATGTACTGCTGTAAGGCAGTACATATAGGCAAACAAGCTAATGCCAAGTTAATAAATATTTTTCACTTTTGACTTCTCCTAGAGTCCTCTTTTGCCAATATACTTTAAGAAGCTTGGATTCATGGGAGGAATGATAATTTATATACTTTCTCCAATCTTAGCTTAAAAATCACACCACTCCAATAAAGGCTGTGTGGGACGGAAATAAAGCAAGACAAGAGTGTGGAAAGGGAGCTTAGGGGAAAACTAAAAAAGCTTGCTTCCATTTCTATATAAGAAACAAAAATCATGAAGCAGGCATTGAAAGCTGAAAAACCTTTAATTCCTTCGCCTTCTAAGATTATAACACAAATCAGCAATACTATTCAACTTTATAGCTTTGTGAGTGATTAAGATGGAGTAGGGTGGGGTGCACATCTCACACCTGTAATCTTAGCGATCAGGAGGCTCAGTTCTGAGACTTGAGGCTCAAAGATAGCACAAGAGGTAAAGTCCATGAGATTCTCATCTCCAGTTAACCAGCAAAAAGACAAAAGTGGAGCTATGGCTCAAGTGGTAGAGCATCAGCTTTGTGTGTAAAAGCTAAAAAACAGTGCCCAGACTCCGAGTTCAAGCCCTGACCAAAAAAGAAAAAGAAGAAGAAGAAAAAAAAGGAGATGGAGCAGGAGATGGGGAGTGGCTGAATGGTAAAGCTCTTCTTGCCTGTACCTACCTGGCCCCGAGTTCAGTCCATCTTCCCCATACCCCCAAAAAGGGCAGCTTTAGATCACAGTGACTATCATTCACTGAACCTTGAAATTCAGATTACCTGAAAGTCTGAATTTAGGTAAGCAGCAGCATGTCACTTGTTCCTGCCTGATTAAATCCTATTTTTGAGGCATTCTCACAACAGAAAAAGACAAGAAAGAGTAAGGAAATCCTGATGCTAAGACCTAATTGCAGGGTCCGGGGACTGTAACACCCATCAACAGAAGGTCACAGGAAGCACTGTGCCTGCCAAAATGGATTAGGAAACTGCAGTTTTCAAAGGAACTTTGTGACACAGAGGTTACAACTATGTGAACATGCCTCTCATCTCCAGAGAGCACTCTACCTTCGTCAGTAACTCAGCACCAACACACACCAGGATTAGTGTCACTGTCACAGCAGCTTTCACAGGTGGAGTAGCTTTGGGTTTTAGTTGGGGAGGGGGGAGAACACGGGAGACGGGGGACACACTGATGATAATACTGGAGTTGGAACTCAAGGCTTGGGCTTGCAAGTGCTCTACCACTTGGGCTACAGCTTCAGCCCTCTTTGCTTTAGTTCAGATATGATTCCAAGTTTTTTGTTTTTGTTTTTGCCCAGGCTGGCTTTGGACAGCAATCCCTCCTACTTCCCATGTAGCTGAGATACATGTATGAGCTAACTGTGCTCAGCCTTGAATTGCCTACTTAATAAATAAACTGAGGCTTAGAAAGGTTACTGCCAGGCTGGGAGTGCGGCTCAGTGGTAGAGAGCTTGCCTAGCATGCATGAAGCCCTGGGTTCCATTCCTCACAACCACATACAAAGAAAAAGCTGGATGTGGTGCTGTGGCTCAAGTGTTAGGAATGCTAGCCTTGAGTGCTCAGGGACAGTGCCCAGGCTCTGAGTTCAAGCCCCAGGACTGGCAAAAAGAAAAAGGTTAATTGTTCTAATGCAGCTTGTCAAGGGCAGAAGCAGTTATTTTGAATCTGGGTCAATGGAGCTATTTTTCTTTTTTTTATAATAAGTTTTTTTTTGTGAAAATACCATACAGAGGGGTTACAATTACATGAGCAAGGTAATGAATACTTTTATCAAGCATTGTTGCCTCCTTTGTTTTTCCCCTACCATCCCTGCCCTCCCATCTCCACAACTACACTCCTCCCTACCCTCCAGCTATATTCTAAACTCATGTTGTTCTTGTTTTTTATGTACTACATAATTTATACTTAGAAAAATAAAAGGCTACAAAGTCACCCCAAGAGTGCTCAGATCCCTCTGGTGTGTCTACTACACCTTTACCGTCTTTTTACCTTTTCTTTGGTCATGGGGCTTGAACTCTGGCCTGGGTGCTGTCCCTTAGCTCTTTAGCTCAAGGCTGGTACTCTACCACTTGAGCCACAGTGCCACTTCTGGTTTTCTGGTGGTTTACTAGAGATAAAGAGTTTCACGGCTTTTCCTGCCTGGGCTGGCTTTAATCACGGATCCTCAGATTTCAACCTCCTGAGTAGCTAGAATTACAAGCATGAGCCACTGGCACCCAGCAACTTTTTAGCTTTTCAATAGGCATCTGTTAAAAGTAAAAAGACTGCCAGATGCCAGTGGCTCATGCCTGTAATCCTAGGTACTCAGGAGGCTGAGATCTGAGATCGCAGTTCAAAGCCAGCCCAGGCAGGAAAAAGTCCATGAGACTCTTATCTTCAATAAACCACCAGAAAACCAGAAGTGGCACTGTGGCTCAAGTGGTAGGGCACTAGCCTTGAACTGAAGAGGTGAGGGACAGTGCCCAGGCCCAGAGTTCAAGCCCCATGACTGACCAAAAAAAAAAAAAAAAAAAGAAAGAAAGAAAGAAAAAAAAAAAAGCTAAAAGCTAGCCAAGTACAGTGATACATCTCTGTAACCCTAGCACTCAGGGAGGCTGAGGCAGGAGGATTTGCAAGCAAGACTGTGCTACACTAAAAATAAAAAAGCTATGGAGGCACAACTGCCCAATCCAATCCCCGCTACCTTAACTCAAGTGGTTGTGCCTCAATGTAATTCGCCTCAGAAGTCCTTTTTGAGAATGTGCGCTCTAGTGACTAGAATAGCTAGCATTACAGGGTATATCAACATGCCCGGATAAAACTTAGTTTAGTCCCATCTGGAACAGGCATATGAGTTCAAGGACAAATTTAGAGTGTTGCTGTTTCTCCAATCTTCTGGTATCTACTCATACATACTTGAAAGTGAGCATGGATAAATAAACCTTTACATTCTGAGATGTTAGACACATGGCTAGCATCCTTGCTGGACTAAAACCCACATGCACAAATATGCCCAAAGGACTTCTACATTCAAGTTTCAATGGGCTTAAAAATATGTACACGTGTACACACACACACACACACACACACACACACACACACTTGCTCATCTATACCCCTCAGCAAAAGTTACAAGTATGTCTTTATTTTCTAAGAAGGCTGAATCATTCCTACTATTCCGGTGACAAGATATGAGTTTCAGGGTGCTGAACCAGCCTTTTCTACTGGAGCAGATCAAAGCTTACAGGCAGGCAAGGACCTCCTTCAGTCCATTCTATCCTGCTGGGGGAGGAATGGAAGCAGCGTGTGATGCAGTCTCATGACCAGGAAGTGAGTGCATGAGATCAGCGCCCTTTCAGCTCAGAAGAAATGGACGCCAAACCCCTTCACCTGACTTGTTTCTACCATGACCTCAGGTCAAGCTGACAGTTGTGGTTTTTTCCATACCTTTTTTTTTTTTTTTACATTTTTATTGTAAAGGTGATGTTCAGAGGGGTTACAGTTACATAGGTCAGGCAATGAGTACATTCCTTTTTGAACAGTCATGCCTATTTTTTTTTAATCCTTTGCATTTGTTACATTTGTTACATTAATCCTTGTTACTCACTTAAGATGTTGAAGGCATGGCTCAGGTAGTAGAGAGCCAGCCAATGAGTGAAAACAAGTATCAGACACTGAGTTCAAGTCCTAGTTTAGGACCAAAAAAGAAAAAAGTAACACTTAAACGTAAAAGACAAAAGAAAATTCTCTGGTTAAGAGCATGGATTCTGAACTGGTGTTTGAAAGCAGGCTTTCCCTCCACTATGTCAGCATGAATACCTTACAGACTGGAGGGCAGGCGGATGGCTGTACTTACTGATCCACTCAGAGGCACTTGCCCTTCCTCTGATCTTTTCTGGTTGAAGCTGCTGCATAATCATTCTGACTTGCTGATCTTTTATTTTAATTGGATTATCACTGTTCCAGATGGGACTAAACTAAGTTTTATCCAGGCATGGTGATGTACCCTGTAATGCCAGCTATTCAGAAAGTAGAGGCAGAAGGATTTGAGATCCAAACCAACCTGGGCAAAAGTAGCAGGAGATTCTATCTTACAAAAACCGAAGGGTCAGAAGTGAAACTCGAACCTGGAGCTCAATGCTTAATACAAAAAAAACCACACACACACACAGAAGAAAGAAATCTGAAAGGGAAGAGGAAATCATTTTCTTTTGTCCGCTTGTAAGAGAATATTAAAATATAGGACTGTATTTATTATTATTTATTATTTCAAAAGTTTACATTTTTTAAAAATACTAAATTTCCACTTTACCTAGTGAAGAAAACAATTACATGCTGGTGAGGGGATGTGGTAATGGAGGACAGTGGTCCTTACACCATCAGGGGGAATGTAAATTAAGGCAGCCATTATGGAAATCACCATTTTTTTTAGTGGGAGGTTTGAAATACGTTACTGGGACTTGAATTCAGGACTGTTTGTATGCAAGCCAAGAGTGGCATGTGACAGAAAACTAGCCTTGAGTGAAAAAGCTAAGGAACAGCACACCTAGGCCTTGAGTTTAGGTCCTAGATTCAGTGCATGTATACTCACACACATACTCATGGACACACATACACGCATGGACACACATACACGCATGGACACACATACACGCATACACGCATACACACACACACACACACACACACACACACACACACACACACACACACACACACACACACACACAGCAGAAGCCAGTGGCCTACATTAATCCGTGTTACCCAAGAGGTTGCAATCTGCAGGATTAAGGCATTTGTTGCCAAACCGAGCAGTAAAAGTTGATTGGATTCTACCTCCAAAATAACTGCCAAAAAAAGGAGGAGCAGAGGTACAGCTCAAGCAGTGTAGTGTCAGTGTAGCAAGCACAAGGTCTAATATCAAACCCTAATAATACTGCACTAAAAAGTCTCTTTTTCCTTCATAGGGAATAGGAAAACTCTCTCTACCCCTTTTCATTTCTCCCCACTTTATTCTGTTAGAATAAAACAAATCCTTACTTCAAAAAAGCAAACAAACTCAAAATAGAACTATCATATGATCCTGCTTTACCACTCTGGGGCAAATATCCAAAGGAATGTTAAATCAGAACACAATAGAGATACTACACATCATGTTTATTACAGTATTATTCATAACAGCCAAGTTGTAGAATTGGCTGGCCATCAACTGAGGAATGGATAAATGTGGCACATATTCACCATGGAATATTACTCAGCCATAAAGAATGAATTATGTTCTGAAAGTAGATGGAACTGAAATTATCAAATGAAATAAGACAGATGAAGAAAGACAAATGTTACATTTCTTTTATCATATGCAGAATTTAGATCTTAAAAACAAACATGAAAATAAAAGGGGATTGAGGAGAGAAGCTACAAGGAGGGCAGGGAAAGAGGGTAGAGAGAACATGACTGAAATAGAAGAGGATACATTAAGAAAATAACAGAAGGGGCAATATTATCAAGTACATATGCCTATATGGAAATATCACATGGAACCCCATCACTTTGTATAATTAATATGTGCTAATTTTCTAGAATTGTTTTAGAATCAGAGCAAGCTATTTTCCCCAACAACACAGCACTTGACAGAACGTTCTTGTGGGAACACAGAAGCGACACCCTGCCTGCCTGGCTCAGTAGGCCATGCCAAGCTGCGGGTCTCACTAATGAGCTCAGCCTCACCAGGAGGACAGCGTGTTCCTGGCTCCCAGAGACAGACACGGACTCCAGCTGTGCTAGTGAAATCCCAGGAATGGCATTTTTATTAATTTCAATTAAAGAGCAAAACCTTACAAGGATAAGATTCTCACATTTGTACTTGAAGAAAGCACACGCTTAACCCAGGCCAATGTGTATTTCTAAACTTCTTTGGAATATGATCATTTCAGGGATTAGTTGTTTTTAATACTCTCCTTGCAATCTCAGAATCAGATTAAGAGAATCATTTGGTGAGAACAGTTTGATTTTGAAATAGAAATATAAAAATGATATCTTTGCTGCAAGGATGGGTAGAAGAGACCAACCATTGTTATAATAGATGATCGAACTGATAAAATTAAGTAAAATTAAGTAAACCTCGTCTCACTGCAAAATCAAGCTCTACAGAATCTGCCTAGAGACCCTGACATTCCAAGATGGCCCTGTTGATGATACTCTGCCCCAGCTTTCAGGGTCTATGAAGAGGTTCTTTGAAGAGGGAAAGAGAGAGAAGAACTTGGGGAAATGGAAGAGTGCTCAACCTGCAATAGAAGACCTATTTCAGCCTTACTTTTTTATTAAAAATGTTTTTAAAAATCATTTTATTGTAAAGATGCTGTCCAGAGGGTTACAATTACATGAATAAGGCAATGAGTACACTTCTTTTTTTTTTTTTTTTGGGTCCGGTCGTGGGGCCTGAACTCTAGGCCTGGGCGCTGTCCCTCAACTCTTCAGCTCAAGGCTAGCGCTCTACCACTTGAGCCACAGCGCCACTTGCGGCTTTTTTCTTTTTGCTTATGTGGTGCTGAGGAATCGAAGCCAGGGCCTCAGGCATGCAAGGCAAGCGCTCTACCACTGAGCCACCTTCCCAGCCCTTATTAAAAATTTTTATTCTTAGGAAATAGATGATTTTACTTACTACCACAAAAAGATATAGCTAACCTAATAAATAAGAATGTAAATTATTTGAAAAAGTGTTTTTCCTACTTTGATTCTAGTTCTAATAAGGAAAGAAAGCAGACTACTGCTTTGCAGGCAGCAATGTCCTGGCAGTATTATCCGTGAAAGAGAACAGGAACACTCCATTTTCCATAAAGGAAGCAAAGGCAAACTTTGTGCCTCATCTCATTACTTTCAATTGTGGAAAAACACTAGGTCTGTTCTACTTTTCAGTTCAAAAATCAACAGGATGATCACTTTTTTGTATTGGCTTAACTGTAGCAAACGATTAACTGAAGAGTTAAACCCAAAGATATTCATATTCTGGTAGCAATAACCAAGACAGCTCTCTTAATTTAAACTATTTTCCTCTCTTGCATTCAGTAGTGCATTTACAATAAGTGAGAGCAAAGATGACACTTTCCACTAGACACTTACTTTAAGTATGGAAGCAGTATAAAACACGAGCGGAAATGTGGTCTCTTTTTTATTTCTCTCCTGAAGAATGAGTTATGGAGGATGTAGTGATTGTTCCACATCATGAACCGGACCTCTTTCAGACCCCGAGAATTGGCTTCTTCAATCAATCGAACAACCGACTATGGAACAGAAAATAGGAAGGAACAAATGACAAAAAGAAAGTCATATTAATAATCACTATGAAATAGGAAAATCACTATGAAATAGGAAAATGTAACTAAAGGCAAAAGGAATTTTCCTCACTGCTCAGAGCAAAGGAGTTAATAAAGTGAAGTCAGATTCTTGGTATATGTAGAACCCCAGGCAGAATGGAAAGGTACTTTTGGTTCAGAGGAAGTAGACAAACTACCTTGTGAAACTGGCTGGTAAGAACCACTACACAACTCTTACTTGTAACCATAACAATGTCTCACAGGATATGTGAGTGATTCCTATTTCTTAAGGAAATGTTCAGAATGAGGATTTTTTAAATAATAATTTTTTACTGAGATTAAATGATTACATAAATTTCACAGTATTGTAGAATAGTGATATGTAAAGTCACAAACACATTTTAACCTTCACAAAGCAAACTGTCATTATCTTGGTCTATAAAGTTTGTGAATTCTACAAGCTTTGACAACACAGCTATTTCTTCTGCATTGGGTGATATGTACAAAATGAGGATTAAAGATAATACTGTACAAAGTGCAGAGGATGGAACTGTGATCAGCAGTAGAGCACCTGCCTAACAAACACCAGGGCCCAAGTTCAAGCCCCAGGGACACCAAAAATAAAATATAAAATGCAAAAAACCAAGTTCCAAATGTGAGATACCGCTGAGAGGAAAAACACAGGGATAATATCCAAGTACACTGAGAATACACTTTAAATAGCTTTTTCTGTTTAGAATGAAAATGTTAGTGATTACTTGAAAGAGATATATTTATAATAGTTAAATACTGCTAATAGTCATGCTATTTTGTATTTTTAAAAAAATTCTAAAAGCCAGTTTTCCTTTTTTGTATGCTAGAAATGAAGTTAATCAAATTAAAGAAAGTAGATTATCAGAATGTGAGATTAATCTCTAAAGTCCATTTCAATGTGTTTAACCTGACTTGGAATTGTCATTCTAAGGAAAAACACACCATCACTGATGACAAATTCTAAATAAATGACAAGTCTAACCCTAGCTTATCTAATAAACCTTCCCAAGTACTGCTTCCAGGACTTAAGAATGACTGCTTCCATTAGGCTTCTAAAAATGGCAAGTATAACACACGACCCAATCTCCAGAAACTGAGGGCAGATAGAGTCAAAAGCTACTAGTTCTCATCTCATTAAAATTATCTCAAAGAAAATGTTAAGTAATGCACTCATTACCTGACTTACAAAATAGCAACCATCTGTACAACACCTTCATAATAGCAATAAAACTGTATTTAAAAAGTTATCCCAAATATGGCTCCAGGTCTAGGTTTTCATATCTACAGTGTAAGATTCTGGAGGAAGAATTTTAGTTCTCTGATAACAGATTTTGGATTTCAGATTCATGAGAAGAAATCCGTTCTCAAACAAAAATGGGAGAGGAACTGAAGGTATGACTCAAGTGACAGAGCTTCATCTGAAAGCTAAAGAGCTGAGTAAGAACACAAGGTCTTGAGTTCAAAACTACTATCTGAGAGGGTGGTAGAGGGAGGGAGAGGGAGACAGAGAGAGGGGAGGGAGAGGGAGGGAAGAGGGAGGGATGGGGGGAGAGAGAGAGAGAGGGAGGAGAGAAAGGAGAAAGAGGAGAGAGCACAGGAAGGAGAATAAAGAGAGAGGAGGAAGAGAGAAAGAGAGATTTTACCTGTATTAGCAAGACTCAATGTAAATCCCTTTAAGCTCTTTGATTATGACCTGTAGTTCTGACTAGTCATTGTCAGAGAGAATTAAAGAACAGGGAAAGACAAGACAAGTACTTAATGGGGAAAAAAAAAAAAAGAACATGTAAATACCTCAGGATATTCTCTCCACCCAAAGTGGTCTCTACAGAAGTACTTCCAAAATGTGTGGTAAATAGAGTTGAAATTACTGGAAGATGGTGTGGACAGCCTCCGTAGTTGGTCAAATTCAGTTGTTTCATACACAGTCATGGCATTAAAATCCGCCCAAAACTCTTGTCCTCTGAAAAGATCCAAGAAAAAACTGCTCAACAAAGTACCTAAATAAATATCCTATTGGACATAAAAAAAATTATCTAGAACAGGCTGTTGTAGAAGTTTCAAAACTTGCTTTAACTTAAGATTAAAAAGGCATCACTGAGCCTGGTGCTAGTAGCTCACACCTGTAATCCTAGCTATTCAGGAAGCTGAGATGAGATCTGAGAATGGGATTCAAAGTCAGCTCAGGCATCAAAGTCCACATGACTCTTCTCCTTCCTCTCCCCAGTGGCACCAAGTCCTAGCACCAGCCAATCAGGGAGTCACACTGAGGATGAAGCTATTAAAAGAGACCAGAGAAACAAAGAACCCTCTTGCCCTGCCCCCAACACAATACTTTCCCTAGGTACCAGACATCCTGGACCATTGTAGGAACCTACAAGATTGTTTGATAAAAAGTCAGGAAAGCCCATGCAGATGGCTCACGCCTGCAATCCTAGCCACTCAGGAGGCTGAGATCTGAGGATGCAGTTCAAAGCCAGGGCAGGAAAAGCCTTGAGATTCTTATCTCCGATACCCCCCAGAAAACAGGAAGTGGTGCTGTGGCTTAAGTGGTAGAGCACTAGCCTTGAACTGAAGGGAAAGCCCAGAGTTCAAACCCCACAACTGACAAAAAAAAAAAAAAAAGTCAGAAAAAAAATAGAGAGAAAAATATCCCAGATAAAGCAAGTACTGCTAATCTACTATCAATATTACATTTTATCCTGTGATGGAAAAAGTGCTGGCCAAACATGGAGTAAAATAGTCTGCATTATTATGTGAGTCAATTATGAGAACATTTTTGTCATTTTGTTAACAGTCTGCTGTTACTGGGCCAGCCCTTTACAACCCACTATAAGAAATACACATTTTACGCAATAAGTTTATAAAGCATGGTTGCAATAGAATGTTTCCTTTTTAATGGATTGTCATCTAATGTTTGAATTATTTGAACCATTCATTATTTCAAGAAACTGCATTTCTCTAAGAAAACATAAAAAATTAATTATATCATAAAATACACAAACAATGTGCCAAAAAGCACATAACTTGTAAAAAATCAGCATGCTCCTTTAAAAATGTCCAAAGATTTCCAATAACCCCCAATGCTTAGAAATGGTACTAACGAGGAGGTAGCCTTAAAAATAAACACAATTTTAATTAAACATGAGACAGGAATAAAGCAATACAGTTTTAAATCAAATTTTGAAAAACATGAATAGGGATACTGCTAAAGAGAAAGGTATAGAGAGAAGGATTAGAATATGATCAGGGTATCATTTATACAGTGAAAAAAGGAATAATGAAACCTGTTATTCTGTGAAGTTCATAAGACAAATTTTTTTAATTAAGGAAAGAAATCATATTTGAACACAGACTCAAAATGATTTACAGTTCATAGTAATATTTAAAAGGCAAAATGTTTCTGGGAAATTCTAAAAAGATTAAAAAGAAATTCTAATAACCAGAACAATTATGCCTAAATTAATTTTCATATCAATTTTCACTTAATTTTAGGAGAAAATGATGTTGTAATTATAAGAAGAAATAAATCTTTTCCCCTGGTAAGACCATTTCAAGTTTCTAAACATATTTTCCTCTTTTAAGCTTATTCTCTAGTAATGGCTCCTAATTATTATTATTTTTTTTGTCGGTCGTGGGGCTTGAACTCTGGGCCTGGGCGCTGTCACTCAGCTCTTCAGCTCAAGGCAAGCACTCTACCACTTGAGCTACAGTGCCACTTCCGGTTTTCTGGTGGTTTATTGGAGATAGGAGTCTCATGGTCTCTCCTGCCCAGGCTGGCTTTGAACCTCGATCCTCAGATCTCAGCCTCCTGAGTAGCTAGGATTACAGGCGTGAGCCACCGGAGCCCGGCTATGGCTCCTAATTATGATTTAACAAATCCTCAGTATTTCCTTTAAGGAGTTTTGGAATGGCAGACATTATGATAACATGAATACACAGCCAATGATTTTTGCTGTTTATGTGTCACGATTTATTCTGGACAGACTCTACCAATTTCTGCATAAGCTTATATTACTGAAACTTCACAGATAATGACTTACATGAGAAAAACACAAATGCAGCTTTTTGCTACATTCTGTGTGCATTTCAGGCCTCTGGGCATTATGAATTTTCTATGACAAATTCTGATTTGGTACAATCAACTGTTCTTTGGATAGATGTATTAAAGTACTGTTTTAGCTGTATCTGATTTTCAATATGCTTTTCTAATCTTGACAGACTAAATAACAAACTTTAAAAACACTAAATTATCTTTTTAAAAGATTAATTTTACCACCTTCATTCTTTTAAAAGTGGGGAATGCTTTAAATTCCAAAGTCAAGAAGAGCTTTTTCTGTCCACAATCTGCATCACTGTAAATGTGTACAATACACTTGCCAAATGTTCAACATCTATCACTCTTCTTTATCAAACTATTGTTTCCTATTATCAGAAAGCAGTTATGAGTCATCTATGTGTGGTAAAAGATTGTGGAATGAATTAGGCAATGAATTAAACAGATGTAGTCTGTTTTCCAGTGTCTTCAAAAGAGAGGAAGATGTAACAATGTAAAACCAAAGCAGCAGTACAGCTGCCTATCTACATTCACCATTCAGGGAATGAGAGGATTTAGAAAGAACAGATTTTTGTTACTGGTTTCCAGGGACCGATAAAGGTCAGAAAAAACAAAAAGGCTTAATCACTCCAAGATAAGTTTTGTGTAAAAGAAGAATTGGAGGCTGTGTGCCAGTGGCTCAGGCCTATATAATCCTATAGCTACTAAGGGGGTGGGGCTGAGATCTGAGGATCACTGTTCAAAGCCAGCCCAGACAGGAAAGTCCGTGAGACACTTATCTCCAATAAACCACCAGAAAACCAGAAGTGGCACTATGGCTTAAGTGGTAGAGCGCTACTCTCCTTGAGCTGAAGAGCTGAGGAACAGCACCCAGGCCCAGAGTTCAAGCCCCACAACAGACCAAGAAAAAGAGAGAAAAAAAAAAGGAATTGTAGGAGCAGTTAAAATATTACATAGAGAATACTACTTGTTACTAGGAAAGGATTATGTAGAAGAACAAGATAAAAGCACTTTCCAAGTGCTTCACTTCTTGGACTAAGGGAGCAGTTGAGAGTTGGAGGAGTCCTTTCCAACAGGTTACATGAAACAAAGAAATGTGTCCCAGGGTAGGCAATGTGAGGGGTCAGGTCATGAATTGAGGAAGTCTAGGATCTCAGATTAGGGTACAATGGTTCAAAAGCAGATAAAGGGTAAAAGAATATGTGAAAACTGAATGTGAGAAACAATGTTAAAACAAGACGGGGGGGGCGGGGGGAAGGGAGTTGTCACTGTGAAAGCAGGGTACAATAATCCTGGAAAATGAGAACCCAATCTGCACAACAACATTCCTACAGAGAGCCAAAGGGTGGGCAGCCACTATTTAGTTAGAGTAGGCTTTGGCTAAATTATCATGCAGTGAAATCAATCAGTATGTTTGTGTGTTTGTGTATATATACACAAGCCAGTTCTGGAGCTTGAACTCAGAGCCTGGGTGCTGTGCCTAAGCTTTTTTTTTTTTTTTGCTGAAAGCTAGCAGTTCTATCACTTGAGCCACAGCTCTACTTCCTGATTTTGGTTGTTAATTGGAAATAAAAAGTCTCACAGATTTCCTTTTCCTGGGTGGGCTTTGAACCATGATCCTCAGATCTCAGCCTAAATAGCTAGGATTACAGATGTGAGCCACCAGTGCCCAGTAATTGTTTTACCAAAGATATAAATCCTATGATCAATCAGGGGTTGGGGGAATATTGTTAACAAGTTGTAGAGTTTTTCTATAAAAGAAAAATAAATTTGCACTGCAGAAATATTAATAATTCTGTTTTTATATACTTTTCCAAACAAACATGTCACTACATATTATAAGAATCCAGATATACACTTGTATAGGAAGCAAGGAGCTAGAAGTATGTTTCAGAGGTATAGTACCTGTTTGACAGATTAGAGACAGAAAGACCTAGAGTTCAAACACTAGTATGGAGTAGCAATTGAATAGGAAGTATCCTACAACTGAAGTGAATGCTTCCTTCTGGCCAGTTTCCCACTGTCCAGTCATCCGAAACATCCCCAGCTAGACCCACATGAGATTCCTGAGCCACCAGAGTCTCTGGAAGTAAAACACCGCAACACATTCAGTTCATCCAAAGCTCTAGGTTTCTCAACTTAAAAAGAGAATGCAAGCCGGGCACCAATGGCTCATACCTGTAATTGCAGCTACTCAGGAGGCTGAGATCTGAGGATGGCAGTTCAAAACCAGTCAAGTCAGGGGAGGAAAGTCTATGAGATTCTTTTTTTTTTTTGTACATTTTTTATTGTAAAAATGCTGTACAGAGGGGTTACACTTACATGGGCAAGGTAATAAGTACATTTCCTATAGAGCATTGTCGCCTCCTCCTTTGTTTTCCCCCTACCATCCCTGGCCTCCCACCTCCACAACTACCCCCCACCCCAAATCCATGAGATTCTTATCTCAGATTAACCACCAAAAAGCTGGAAGTAGAGCTGTGGCTCAAGTGGTACCATGTTAGCCTTGAGCAATAAAGGCTCAGGGAGGACTGGGAAGGTGGCTTAGTGGTACAGTGCTTGCCTAGCATGCATAAAGCCCTGGGTTCCATTCCTCAGTACCACATAAACAGAAAAAAAAAAAAAGGCTGCCTAGGCTGAGTTCAAATTTTAAAACTCTCGCATGCGCGCGCGCACACACACACACACACACATACACACACACAAAGAGAATCTAGGCACAAAACTATTTTAAAATTCTGAAAAGGACCGCTGGTCTCATAGCTGTTTTAATAGCAATAACTCTCATTCAACAAATAACTTCACACATAATTAAGCCAACATTTTCTAACAATAATAAATTACCACTGCACAGAACACCAACACCCACACTAAGTCAGAAAGGACACCCCACACGTGATTCTTCT